GTGTGAGGTCAGTGGGGGGGGGGGATGGAATGGGGGCGGTAGCGTCGCTTGTAAAGGGCTGCGGGTTGGGATGGCGGAGGCACCTGCGCGGGCCCCGGTGCACGGGGCTGGGGTCTGTGCCTGGCAGAGCCGCCGGGAGCGGAGCCCGAATCCGGACGGCGGGGAGGGGGGGCGCGTGCGGTGGCAGGGACCGGGGGAGATGAGGCGATAGTGCTCAGTGCCCTGGCTGGGTGGCTGAAAGGCAGGGCCGGGTAGGAGGGACACGGCGTAGTGTCCAGTGTGGACAGACTCGTACAACCAAGGGGATCGATGCCATCTCTTAGCTTACTGCAGATGGTGATGAGCTGAATGGAAGAACCTCGGGATGGCGTTTCCCACTAGCTTAGGTGGTATCGTGTAGCTGAGCAGAGCCTAACTTATTTTTCATTAGAAGCAATATCCGGCCCAGGGCAGAGTCTCAGTCTGGGTTCTAATGTAATACCCAACTGAGGATTTTAGAGGGGATTTAGGATGGAAAGGAATCAAAGTTAACTAACAGAGTGAAAGGTGGAGAAGATCCCAGGGGTAGCTGAATGAACTGACTTCAGTGCTCAATCAAGGTAATATGAGGGTCAAGATAACTCGACTTAATGTTTCCACTGAGTTTCTGGAGTGGTAGGCCACAGATCAGAACCTTGTGAGGCGGACCTCACCTTCCCCCTCCATGTTTGATGCAGTTCCTCTGCAGGGGAAGAGGAATAGGGTACTAGGTAGAGCTTGGGGGAGGAAAAATTCCTTTCTGAGCATGATTTTGGAAATGGGATGTGAATGGCAGATCCTGAAGAAAGGGAGGAGAGCAGCCTTCAGTATCTCAGGGAGCTCACCACAGGTGATGCAGTGCTTCCCTTGCTGACAGTGAAAAAGCTTGTGTTGCCCAATGTGGGCTGAATTGGGGTAGGCTGCTATGTGTGATAGATGGGTATATTAAAGGAACTGTGTATTGACTTTACTGTGGGAAAACAGTGTTTTCTTTCTCTCTCTAAAAATGCCTTGTGATGTCTTAGTTTAAAATACTTTTTTTTTTAAAGAACTTTTAGTATAGAGTTCCCAGATTCTATTTACTCCTACCTGTCTCTGAGTTCTACATCTTCTGGTTTCCTTTAATAAACAGGAAGTAAAGTTGGTTTTGTTTGTGAGTTAATCTTTGCATCTAGCAACTTTTTTGTATTCAAAACAGTTGTTTCATTCCAGAAATAACTAAAAGTTCCTGTTATTGAATCAGAATACTGTATTACTTCTGCTGTGTACTCAATAATAAACTCATTGCCTTTTCCTCGAGCTCTTGGCATATTAACAAATAAGATTATTTTGTATAGCTTGTATGTGTGTATATGTCTCTTTACAGAAATGACTTTCCTTATTGAAATGTACATACTTGTATAGTAAAACAACTTGGTTATTTAATAACTGTACATATATACTTTCTTGTCTCCAGAGATCCTGAAGTTTTTTATACCATACTTCCCTAGCACCATTGAAAATCAGCCATCTTTTCAATCAAGGGGACTATGATGGCATCGTTGGGGTGCCGTCTGGAATAGATGGACCGCTGTGCCTCCCTAGCTGGATAGCCTGCGCTGTGTCTAATGCTTTGCTAAGTACAAACAGCTAACCGTCCAGGTGCCTTTGATCACTCAGCACAGTAGCATATGGAGTCCTGCATTGAGCTAGATTGTATGAATGCTCCCTGAGTCACTCATGAATTGCACAGAGAAAGCCACCAGCCATGTCTTTCCAGCTGCCAGCCTTGTACCTCAGGCATATACTGTCTTGCACTGTTCAATTTATTAGTGGTTCACCACTTCATCATTGGGAAGTGGAAATGCTCTAGCTTTTGTAAAACCAAGCAATTACCTCCATGCACTTCATGCAAACTCACTGGTAAAGATAAACACTTAAAAATGTATTGATTACAAAAAATAGTCAGAAAATCAGAGTTAGATACCAAAAGAAATAAAATATAACCATTCAGAATAAACTTTCAACCCTATTATATTGAGCAATATCTACTGTAAGCACTCCACTGAATATTGCAGTCCATAATATACAAGTTTGTCCATTAAACATGGGCCAGCCTCCTCTGTTGCAGTCTTCCCAGTGTCCTGGTTGCTTTCAGTATATGTTAGGGCCAAAGAAAGGTGAAGCATAGGCCCACTGAGTTTTCCTAGCATGCCCAGGCCCAGACATGTCTGGTGGGCATTGCTCCGTCTCCAGGTATGGTTGAGCAATTCCCCTGACGTGGCATCATGCAGGTGAGTCATTGAATTGTAGCTCTCTTGCTAGACAATGGCTGTTGGTGATTGTTTGAAACCCCGCCCAGGCATCGGCTGCTCGCAATGCTGTTGTCTTTGGGGAGTTAATATTTGGTTGATTCTCCAACTTCCAGCATGTTTACAACACTGTCTCAAAAGTGTGTATGCACTAAAAAGACACATATTTAGATAATTTCTTAAATGTCATTTAACTATTACCTTTCCCCTGATACCTCACATGGCATGCTTTATATGAAATATCACAGTTATATGCAGATGAGAAATATGAGGATAATAGGGGGCTCCATCAAGCTATAGAATGTCACAGGGGCAACCAGGCAGGGTCAGAGAACTACACAACAGGAAGTAAAGTTTAGTTTTTAAGGATTCAGTTAAACACACAGGCCTCTCTTCCCTGGTAATTACATGGTACTCTTTAGGGATGTTAAATTTAGATTAATGGGCTAATTGAATAGTTGATGCAATTTGCATCGACTAGTCAATTAGTTGATAAGGGCATCTTTGCCTTTGAGGTGTAACAATAGCCCCATGGCAGTTGCTACACTTCAAAGGGGGAAAGCACTGCGGGAGCATGGGGCCAGTGGGAGACTCAAGCAATCCCCCACTGCCTCGGTGCTCCCTGCAGTATTTCAAAGTGGTACTCTCTTGAAACAAAAATCTCTACAGCCATGGTGTCCAACATGCTAGTCACATGTGGCTATTTGGCTGGTTGAGTGTGGCTGGTTCATAGTTGAATTTCATCCTTGTTTCAGAAAGAGGCAGGTCAGAGCTGAAAGTGCCCAGACATTTATTTTTTGTTTGGATGAATTATAGGAGTGTAATCCTGGCCCCATTGATGTAAATGGGAAAACTATTGAATTTAATTTTGCCAGGATTTCACTCCAGATATTCCTTTCCTGAAACTTAAACTACTATTCAGCTATCTGAGCACATTCGAAAATGACACATTTTACAAGAAGAAATATTGTTCAAATATAAGTGTCCTGAACATGCCTTAAAGAACACACATACTTGAGCACAGTCAGTAATATTGTTTGATAGCATCCTAACTGTAACCTGTTACCTACCTTTCAAAATACCCTCTTCTATTTATTTCATGTTCAGATATTGTAGATTCTAGTTAAACTCATAAGTCTGGCCTTCAATCTTGCAATTATTTCTGTTAATCAATTATGTTGGCAGTATGAGCGGTTTTTGAAAACTTGGGTCAAGATTTTTTTTTTAAAGGAGAAGCACAGTTACTGTTAAAGTGCACTTAAAGTGATGTGGTTTAGATGGGGCTCCTTACATTCAGTTCCTTGAAATACATTGTAAACTTTTTTTGAAAGACTTCAAAGTATTAGCCACAGGAAAACATTATCAAATAATATTTAAAGCCTTTTATAAAATTGGAGAGAGGGAGGAAATAGTGTGGTTTTTATAGCCAATTCAGATATGCAATATATAAAACTGTTAATACACCAAAACTCTGGCAATCCAAAAGCAAAATCTAAATATATAATCTACACTCTTTTCTCTTATGTGTGCATTATGACAGTTATTAAATATATTTCAGATACAAATGCATCCAGAGTTGCAGAAAAAGTATCTAAGAACATGATCAAATAACTAAATTGTATGATAAGATGTGAGCTATCAGATTTTAAGGTGTGCATTTATCTTTAATTTTCTCTCATTTCATTTCTACTTGGTTAAAGTACAACCGTAACAATTGTTTTGCCTTTAATTCTCATTTCTTTATACAAATTGGATCTGAAAAAAGAACAGAATGTCTCCAAAAGAACTGTTAGGACATCCAGCATGTTTTACACTGTTTCATCATCCATTTACATTTGCTCCACCTAAGTTGCATTGTCCACACACAATTATCTTTACCCCTAAAATTTGAAAATATTAATAAAATTAAGATTATACATCTTTGTTTACCATTTAAGATTAGGGATGTAAAAGGTTAACTGGTAGGGGCTGGAGCAACTCCTTACCCACCCTGGGCAGGGGGCTGCGCCAGTTCTGTAAGGCATGGCAGAGCAGTTCCTGTTTGTGGCAGGCCTGGCCCTCTCTCCTCCTGCGTAGGTTACATGCTGGCTGCTGGAGAAGGGCAGGCAGCTCCTGGGGAGCCAGTTGCAAAGCCCACAGTGAAGTCTCCTCCACAGGAGTGGGGCCAGCAGCTGCTTCCAGGGAGGCTTTTTCTGGGTGCTATGGTGTAAAGCTTATTTAAGTTTATATTGCAGAGCCCACAACATTTGTAATTGCTAGGATTTTTAGTGGTTACACGTTTACATTTTTAAGGCATTTTATATCCCTACTTAAGATATCAATATACAATCTAGGGATGTTA